ACATTGTGCAGGATTTTTGTACAGTTATAGTATGCCAACAATTAAATTACAGCAATGAAGTAAATACGTTTCACACAACTAGATATCAGCACTGATATATCATGAATTAATGCAGAGCTAAAAACTGGTAACTAACCTGTTTTCAAGTCTAAGTGTCTGGATTACAGAGGCAACAGTAAAATCGGCTTAGATTAGGCTGAACCCTCTGAACGTCCTCTCCCTCCAGCTCTACCTCTCATTCTTCCTCCTCTCACTCTCACCCCACCTCTTCTTCCTCCTCTCACTCAGCCCAGCTCTTCCTCTTGCTTCCATGTTGGCTTCCATTGTTTCTGTAAGAAAGTACTCACCACCTGTGGTCTTTTTATAGTGCTAACATCCTGATTGATGAGCCAACAATTATGCTATCAGGTGTTTGGTCAGGTGGAACGTGTTTCTTGATCATTGGTCCATGTGTGAGGCATTTTGAATATCAGTGTTTTAAACCTGCTAACACGTGACTTTATGTCAGATTCCTTTGTCTCACGTGGAGAAACGTGTGCAGTGGTTTGCAAAAAGTGCCATGTTGATTTGCAAATTGTGTGAAAAGCTGAAAACGTGTTTTGGAGATTTGAGCCGATGTTTTGCTCTTTGAGTGTCAGTTAAAATAAATGTGCTTTTTGTATAATTTTAGTGTTAGCAATCGAGAAAAACTGTAATATTTGGAGAAAGAATAGCTTTATTTCCACTCCCTTTGTCAGTAATGTAGAATTATGTTATGGAGACGGACAAACAATAAAAGAGAGTTGCTTCTTTAATTGACTTTGTTAATCTATTTCCATACAAAACTGTACATCTTAAATAAAGTATCATTTAGTTGTTCCAACACTGTAAGTTGTTACAACCTTATTTGCTGTCAACATGAAGCATAGCTGCAGCAGAATGGTTTCAGTTGGTCCACAACACATTTTCTGAGGTATTCACTGGCTTTTCACTTCCACAAACACATATTAAGACACACATCTGTGGTCGGCAACAAAGCACAAAACCATGACCTGCTATATTATAATAATAATAATAATAATCCCCAACAGTTTTTTTCCTGAGAGTTCAACAGATGCTAAGACGTGTTGTAGTGTGTGTCCATCCTTCTCGTCACAGATCTGATCACAAGGCCAGACCGAAGGAGAGTCTGAAGGCCATCTCTACGGGAACCTCTGCCACCGAGTCGTGGAAACACACGTAGAACTCCTGAGGGACCGGCTCGAGCAGCATGCGACTGAGACATGGAAAAATACATTAGACTGGGGGGGGGGAAAGGCAGGCTTGATATTTTCAGAAAATGATCCAGAATGCAATTTTGGAAGTTACAGATAATCATGAAATGTCATAAGACACACAGATAGATCAAAACTTTTTTTTTTTTTTTTATGTAATTCTAAAAATAGTTAAAATCACAAATTAAGGCAAAACGCTCTCAAGTAGAACGGGGGATGTTGAGCCTAATTTGAATAGTTCCATCCAAGTATTCATGTAATAGGATAAAGTGTACCCTATCACCCAGTAGGTCATGGTGGGAGCGGGCTTCCTCTGGTCTGTCCAGTTCTCAGGTTTGCACTGAAACAGGACCCCGTGCTCCTTCACTGGGCCGAGACCCCAGCCCTGAGGCCGGTCTGCAGCGCGCCGGCCCTGCAGGGGGACAGGTCATTCAGTATACCGTCGATTGCATGTGTTTTTTCCAGAACATTTGACATGTATTTTCTTTAGCATATGTTGGACTTCCCTTCTGTGGGACGAATAAAAGTATTCGGATGTCGTTTTTTTGCATGTTTTCGACATAACACTATGTCGTTTTTTGCACATTTGCAACTATTATACTATACTAGTTGCAAATACGCAAAAAATGACAGTATGGTATTTTCGAAAACAACATAGTATAGTATGTCGTTTCTTTTTGCATATTTTCGACACAGTATGTTGATCAGACACGGTCTGCGGTTCTAAACACATTTCTTCGTGGCCTCCTAGAGGTGACCCACCCTGGCCGGCAGGCTCTGCTGGAACGCGGCGCGGATGGAGAGGCAGCAGTGGTGGAAGTTGCGGATGAGCTGCGGGTGGATGGAGCCGCTGAGCTGAGCCTCCTCCCTGTGGGTCGGAGCGATGAAGATCCCCTGGACACTCTCCATCACGACGTAGTGGAACAACGTGTTCTCTGCTCCAGAGGTCAGTCTGTCACAACAAGAAGAAGCTTTTTAGCAAGTTCTAGCCAAAATGTTAAAATACAAGAAATACATCTCATCACCCACTTCATGGTGTTGTACATCTCCTCCGTCTCCCTTTCCGTCAGGGTCTTCTTCAGGGTGCCCAGGAAGAATGGGTTCGGGTGCTTCATCCTGGGAATCTGATGATGAAGCAAACATTATTACCCTGTGGCCTGAGTGTGGTACGTTAACAAAAATCATTCAGTGGACAAATCATTTAGCACCATTTCATTCTAACACTGTTCTGTATTCCAACTAAAAACACGTTTTGTGACCTTCCTTTGTATATCTGATTCTATGTGTCAATGTTGTTGGGGGTGTATTACACATTCCTCTGAAAACACTCTACATTCTTAAACATTTTGTTATGACAAATAAATGTTAAGAATTATTACACGCACATTTTTTGTAAGCTGCATCAAGACACAGTAATAAACAACAGGAACATATAAGCCTCAAGGAAAGACTCCAACTGTACCTTAAAGAGTCCTCCGCTGCCTCCACTCCCCTCAGACCCTCCGGACCCCAGGGAGTCCCGACGGCCCCCCAGCTTTCTCCCCGAGTCCGGTGTAGAGTGTGGACTGAGGCCTGGAGCCAGTGATGTCCCAGCATCCATCTGGCCCTCGCTGCCGCTGTCCGATTGGCTCCTCTGAGGGCTGCTCCGCCGGGCCCTCTCTCCGAACAGGCTGCGGCCCCTCGACCCCCCCGAGGAGCCTCTGACGGCCCCCGCCAGCTTACTGAAGACGGGGGAGGACGAGGCCAGGCTGTCCAGGCGGTCGCGGGCCGCGGGGAGGAACCAGTCGGCACAGGACAGGCAGGGGGCCGGGGGGGCGTTCAGGCGCTCCTCAACACCAGCCTGCAACACCTCCAGCTGCAGCAGGGTGGCCTTCACCTGGGCTCAGAGAGGAACAGCACTTTATAGGCTTTTCCTTTTTTCAGCAGGATGAGTGAGGAGGGTTAGAAATGAACTGGCAACAACATTTGACTTAAATGAAATAGTAGCAATTAATACGTCATCCCCACTAATGTTTTCAAAACAAACGAACACTGACCAAACCTCCCTTCCCCCCTCCGAACTAACACAAACTTGATATGCTTTTTCATCCATATAGTTCTTAATCTTAGTGTTTGGTGTGCATTTGACAATAAAAACCTTGAAAAATGAATGTCGCAGTACTTCTATTTTTCTTGCAAGACTTGATACATTCCTCGGCTACAGAATGTCCCTTTATCCTTCCTCGTCAGTATAGTGGACAGTATCTCCGCCTATTTGCATTGTTAAGGCTGTAAGAGTGACTAGGTAATATGTTAGGCATTAGCTTTGAAGAATCACAAGGTTCACCTGATCTACGTAGACACAGTCGGGTCCTGGAGAGCCCAGAGCTGCTGAAGCACAGCCGCCGGCCTCCAGCAGCACGCACTGCATGAAGTGCCTCTGAGGAGGGGGGAGAGAGAGAGGGGGAGGGAGAGAGAGAGGGAGAGAGGGAGAGAGAAGGGGAAAATATTGTGAAATATATCTTACACAAGTTATAACTTAACTTGTACCATATACAAATATAACTGAGTAGAAATCGGGCAACAAGGAGTGATTGGTGTGGAGGACATTCTTAAGAGAAACTGATAAATGGGCAAAGTTAGTCTTTGTTATATTTAATAAAGTAATAAAGAAAGTCAATATACAAGTGCAATCCCAAATGTAGGAACACAGCTAGTGTTCTCATGAACCAAGTTCTCTTTTTGGTGTGAACGCAAAATCCCAGGAGCTATCGGAACTAAGCGGGAAAAGTACTCCGGAGTGAAAGCTCCTGATGATCGTTTGACACGACAGCTGGCCTCCTCACCAGCCCCACTATGAGGAGGAAGTGGCGTCCTTGGGGTTGGCTGTATCCCGGGTTGTTGGTGCTCGCTCTCTGCTGGGGGAACACCTCCCTCCAGATGACCAGCTGACCCACGCGCTGCTCAGAGGCCAGAGGCAGCAGGCAGTAGTGCTGGCAGTACAGGCACACGTCCAGCAGGTCCTCTTTAGGCAGGTGGTTGGCGATCAGGTAGGACTGCAAGGGGAGCGTGTGGACAATTAAGTGCAGTTTTTATCAAACAAATGTAGGGTTTAAAGCCAGCATTGTGAGCAAAAATACATTTGATAGAGTGTAATAAAACTTATTGTTACGCTGCTATGGACAATCTTCCACTAATGTACATCCACAAAGATATTGAAGTAAATGTTATTTTGTATATATTGATTGTTGTGCTTTTATCTTAATGTGTGCATATGTGTAAATGTTTAGGATATACATATTTTATATATATATTTGTATTTTTGTATTGTGGGAAACGGTATTTCGATCTCTCTGTCTGTACACACAAACTGAGAGATTGACAATAAAGTTGACTTTGAAGTACAAAAAGCACTTTTCCAATATCATTGTTTAGTTAACTGCAGTGAAAGATACAGACAGGGCTTTGTTGAGCTCCATTTCACTTTAAAACAGAAGGAATGCTTTCTCATTATCTTTATAAACAAAGCTTTCCTAAAGGTCCCACTTCATTCCCATGTGGAATGATAAAACACATCTAAATACCAAGATAAGAATCTTCCCTTCATGCTAAGTGATTCTCACACCTTCACTGGTACAGGGTAGAGATCACTGTCCCCTGGTTGTGCTTGGTTAATATTTCATCAGAGTCATCCGGTTGGTGATTAGTCACATGTGCCGAAGCTTCTGATAGCTGGCTGCTGCTGCTGCCATACCCTTAGATGCATAAGTGGGTCTTTTTTGACCCGGTGAGGTGGTTCTCTTGAAGTATCTTTGTAATTACATTTTGATGAGTGATATGAGAGATGAGCGAGTGTGTTTTCACTGAGACCCCTACCTTGTAGAACAAACAGGAGCCAAGAATGACATACAGACGCCTCAGGCCAAAAAAGTCCTCAGACTGTTAGAGAAGGAAATAAAGATAAATAAATACAACAAATAGAGTAGTGACATTGTTTGACCTCGATACAAATTGGACCTATTATAAACCAGGAACTCTCTAAACAACAATGAACAAATAAGGAAACTTAACAAAGCTTGGCGAGATGATAATATAAAAAACACATTTAAATGGAGCTTCAATTGAACTCAACCACTTCCTGTATGAATCTCCCCTCGCTCTCACTTTGTCTCACCTAAAGTGCTGCTTCATGTAATCGGTTAGCGCTGCACGTACACAGGCAAACCAGACATTAGCTTCTCATTAATAATACAACAGGTACACGAACACAACTCTAAAAACAGTCTGACCTTTCCTCTCCCCTGCTGAGGCCAGAAAGCAGATGGCATCTCAGCTCACATGCATGTTCTGCCAACTAATACATAGCAGGATTACGGAACACGTGTGGGTCTAAAGCCTAAAGCACCTATTTGTAATTGGCTAAATTGTTATTTATTAAAAAGCTTGATTTTGTTCCCCACACGTATTCTGTGAAGACCCCCCCCCCCCCCGCCCCCCCCCCTATACTTGATTGGTAGGTTTCAGCACGAGGAGTGAGATGGGGTGGGTCTTAAGGGAATACGCGAGAGAGAGAATTCATAACGAGTGTTGGACGACGTGTTTTTCGGATGGAAAATGAGCCAAACGCGAAAACGCAGCAGCATTTGGATGCACTTCAACCAAAACCCAGGCAGTGATAAAGCGCACCATTTGTAAAGTCAAAATATCCTTTAAAGCAGGGTCAACTAATAATCTCCATCGCCACTTAAAAACACACTATCTAATATTAAGAGTTGCGTGAATTTCATTCAAGGCAAGGCAACTTTATTTACTTAACACATACAGAGGGTAAATTCAAAGTAGTACATTCACTGACATTGATATGGCACCACCTTGTGTCATGTTTACAATGCAGATTATTGACATTAGGTCTGGCAATACAGTCTATCATTATCCTGGTGATTATTTCACAGATAAACCTAGTAACCCCGCCCCCTTTAAAAAACGGCTCTTTTGAAGGAACGGAGCCATAAGATCCGGCTCCCTTCAAAGAGCCATAATTCCCATCACTAATTCCCAACAGGTGGCATGGATATACAAGTATGTAACGTTCTCACCATTTCTCCAAAATCAGAAGACTCGAAATCAGAGAGAACAGTATCCACCTCCATCTGTAGAGAGAGAACATCAGATAAAAACTTAATAGCATTTATAATATGTTAAATCCTTTTGTATTTCCAATTACTTATAGTCTTATCCAAAGTCTTAACTTATCCACTTTAACCATATACTTCATTACATTTGCATCTATTTTCAATACAGATACTCTATGAATGATGTATTTGCTACATTTCCAACATTGGACACTAGAGGGCGCCATTGCTATATTTTTAAACAACTTCTTCACAACCAACATTAAACAATAAAAAAAGAGACACTGCAATAAACAAATATCTGTTACCACTGCATTTACTTCGACTCCATCACTAATTAAATGTCTACATGATATTCTTGTCTCTGTCCCCACAGAGAGAAATTAACCTTGATTTCTGGAGGCAGCGTGAGCCATCGGACCGCCGGCAGTCCGTCCAGAAAGAGGGTCCCTGAGACGTCGGTGGGGGGGGCGGAGGAGGAGCCGTCCCTCAGGCGAGACGGCTGGATGAGCTGCTGGAAGAACAGGCAGAAGAAGTGGTCCAACCTGGGGGCGTGGTCCGCCTGACAGAACGCTCTACAGAGGACACAATGAAGAATAGGTCATTCATAGGACTACAGAAGAATGACTACATCTCAAGAACTACAAATACCATGGCTGCCCTTGGAAAAGCAGACAAGTTGCATCTACAGTATGTCAAGCAGAGAGCATACTGGCCTCTCCAGGTCATGTTCTAGCTGACGAATTTCGTCTGTTGCCATCAGGGCGTATGCTCTACCTGCTCTTCAGACAAATCGCCGTTCGAAGTCCTTCATCCCCTCTGAACTCAAACTTTTAAATTCTTGATAGGTTTTTTAACTTGATTATTTATTTATGTATCTATTGGGATGACGAAGCAAACATTATTACCCTGTGGCCTGAGTGTGGTACGTTCTATGTTCCTGCCTGTGTCCATGACATAAACTGCTCACAACCAACTTTCCTATGTGTCTTCCCTTTAGTCTTTCCTATGTGTCTTCCCTTTAGTCTTTCCTATGTGTCTTCCCTTTAGTCTTTCCTATGTGTCTTCCCTTTAGTCTTTCCTATGTGTCTTCCCTTTAGTCTTTCCTATGTGTCTTTCCTTCAGTCTTCACTATGTGTCTTCCCTTCAGTCTTTCCTATGTGTCTTCCCTTTAGTCTTTCCTATGTGTCTTCCCTTTAGTCTTTCCTATGTGTCTTCCCTTTAGTCTTTCCTATGTGTCTTCCCTTTAGTCTTTCCTATGTGTCTTCCCTTTAGTCTTTCCTATGTGTCTTCCCTTTAGTCTTTCCTATGTGTCCTCACGGACAGAAAAACACGTGTGTTCCACCCATTTATAATTTCTACAAAGACTTCTTTGTTGAAATTATAAATGGGTGGAACACACACGTTTTTCTTTTAATATGTTTAGCATCAAGCAGAACAAAATGGCTGCCAAAAAGGGGCAGTTTGACCCGGCTCTCTCAGCAGGAAAGCAAAGAGCGACCCACCTGTCCAAGGAGCCATACATTACTTTCAGCGTCCGGACCACGTCTCCCACCACCGTCTGCAGACACAGCAGAGGAACTCTGGAGGAAACAGAGACATGTTGAACCCAGACATGAACGAGCTTCAGCGGATGTCATCAAATACCTGGACTAACTGCCAGGAACCATGAAGCAAAAGCATTTTATAGGTTTTTTTTCTCAACATTGGTGTTCCTAAAAAATCTGTCTGTGAGCTTTTAAGCATGAAGGATTTCATAACTGAGATGATGCCTGATCGGGTTTCTAAAAATATAAAAGTGGGGTAAAACGAGTCGTCTCATGAACAACCACAAGCTCCTTAAAGGAGGTATTCATGCTGCCAGCAGAGGACGAAAAGAAGACCGTACGCAGGTTGAAATAGTTTTAACAGATACTGCTCTTAAATACGTCTCCACTTCTACAAATAAAGCTCATTTCTAATCTCTTAAAAATGTGCAACTGCCATATGAAATTCAATCTTGCCGGGCCATGTCTACGTTGTTTTTTTCATCAGTCTGCAGTTCAAATGAAATGTGGAGGAGGTATTTTACAGTGTCTGTGGGAAACGTGTGTTTCGCGCTACCTCTCAGCAGGAAGACCGATGACTAGAAGATTGTTGCTTTCCTTCCAGTAGCCCACATGGACCAGCTGCTTCCCGAGCAGGAGAGAAGAGCTGGGGGAGATGATAGAGGAGACGAGTGAGAAAAGTGTAGAACATCCAGGAATGAACTGGGAGAAAAGTTAGTTATTTGAGGGGAGCTACAACTGGGATTAAATGTTAACCCACCTGAGTATCCTTCCCCCTGTGACGTTCTCCAGCATGTCACACAGCGTGAGGAAGATCCCCCTCACTCCCTTCAGCTGCCCCGATGCTTCGGACGCAGGGTACTGGTACAAGATCTCCTCCTGCAGACACAAGAACACAGTCACACAGAGATACAAGGTCAAAGTGTTGCCGTGTGTCACAAAGATATATGTATCTCTGAGCCTATCAACCAAAAGAAATGTCACATAAAGTGTGACATATCTACATGTCACTTTAAAAGATTAATGTTCCTAAAGATATCTGACATGTCGGACTGTCCAGAGTAAAGAAGAGTAGATTCAGGAAGTTAGCTGAAGCTCAGAGAAATTTATCAGTGCTTCCTGTAATGTGTGCACACAAATCGTTTTCACGGTTGAAGTATGAACATTATTTCTGACTATTGATGAGAGGGTTCTTCAGGCAGATTCAGTGTATAGTTTGTAAGATTCCTCGCAGCACGCTGGCAACTTTAAAGAATACAAAGTGGATAAGAGCTGAGCCGCTGAGGGGACTAGGTTAGGGGATACAAACCTTGAATGAACGGGCCCCTCGTAGCCTTGCCAACCACAACACAAAAACAACAGCCATCACTTAATCTACGTCTCGTCTGTACATACAAGCCAGAAAATGCTCCGATCACGAAATCATCACACGGCTAAGAATCAAAATACCACTGTGGTTTCTACCCTGCAATCAAAGGACTAACTAATCAAAGTGGATGCTCCTGCACGACTCTGTCATTTAGGAAATCCACCGCTGGCTGATGTGGCTGCAGACATCACGAACTCTACTACTCTGATGTTTGGGTGAAAAAAAAAAAAAATCTGGCTTGCAGATACAAAAAAGGAACTGCAGTTTAACGGTACAAGAACATATCCTGCCAAAAGGTGAGACTAAATACTTTTGAGAGTAAATGGAAGAAATTGATCATTTATGACACTGTGGAAAAAGGCATATGCACTTCAGGAGACTACACAATATATCTGAATGCACATTGTAACCATGACTGTTGAATTTTTATTTGATTTATTTCATTGTCTTTTATTTATGATCTTGTACTTGGATTTTCTACCAAGAAAAGCCACAAGTACAATGTGATTTCTCTGTTTTGTTTCTCCATTATATACAAACTTAACTCAATGAAAAAAGGTGTCTAGGAAATGAGTGTAAAACAATACAAAAGAGGGACCAAAAACATAGGAAATTATGATTGTTTTGTATATAGACTACTGCACTTTAGCAAAGACGGCATCTGTGGATTCACCCTAAAGAGACAGAAAAGGACAGGCGCTTCACTCGGGGGAAGGAGCCTCAACCTCCCCCCTTTCTCTCTGCTTTCTGTCACTGGCACCCACAGGATTTGGAGACCGTCCAGAGCAGTAGTTTTCTCTAGAAGTCTGACCTAAAAGCTTTCCACTCCTGTGCTTGAGATTTCCTATTCAAATCAGGTCATTCTTAACACTCAGATATAAGAATACAGCTCACTTATTCTGTTTCAAATCCAGTTTTATAGCTGCTCTCAGTCAAATCACCCACTAAGAAAAATGTGATCCTAAAGGGGTAAAGTGGACTGTTCCCACTAGCTTTCTTCCTTTCGCTACGCCTCTCTCCCCTAATTATTTTTACCCTTATCCTACTTCACGGATATCTGGTTACTCATTCACATGCTGCCTCCTGCTTATTTTAACGAAAAAACAAGTCGTCCCTGGGTGGGCTTGAACCACCAACCTTTCGGTTAACAGCCGAACGCGCTAACCAATTGCGCCACAGAGACAGCTGCACCAACAACGGTGGAGCTTATATATAAACTGAAGGGTGGGGGTTGCCTGCTCTAAGGATCTCAGCATTTGCTAAGCAGACACTGGGGGTTGTTACATAACACTTTCTTTTACATCCAAAAAGGAGATTTCTAATTATCTTAGGCATTTCCATTCTCACTCTTTATTGTATTGTGTATTCTTTATTGGCTTTTATTGTCACGTGTGCATAGCTACATTGTAGTTATGACAATGAAAATCTTAGGTCACAGGCTCCTCCAACAGAACAACACAATAACACAGGTCAAATAGGCCAAGATAAGGCTTCAATTGAAGTTAAGATAGAAGTCTTTAATGAGGTTTGTTGGTTAATTTGTCATTCATTTCTGTCAAAGGTGCATAAATGTTTTTATGATACACTTCACACACACCGACTGACCTCTTCCTGCGGTGACGCCGAGTCCAGTTTGAGCGAGAGGAACATGACGATGTGCGGGACGTGTGCGATGGACATCTGAAGCTCGGCGGTGTCTTCGCCCCACAGCAGACGCACCAGCTGGCTGACGGGAGGAGAGGCTTTCGTCTTACGGACCGATGAAGTGTCCTCAGCTCTGCTGTCGTCCGTCTGAGCCAACGTCTCCAACAACAGCCTCACCTGGCAGAGGAGCGATGACGAATATCAATCAATCCATCAATCAAAGTGTATTTGTAAAGCCCGATATCACACATTCTTTGTCTCGGGGGGCTTTACGGTTTATACAGAATACGAAACCCTCTGTCCTTAGACTCGCACACAAAGACAAACTCCAAAAGCAACAGAGGAGGATCCTTCTCCAAAGAAGGACAATAGGTGTTGTGTGTTTAAAATAAAAAGATAATACATTTGCAACAAAGAATACAGCTCTAAATGCTAGAAAGGATAATGTGTCATATATAAGGAGAAGATAGATCCAGGTGCATGTCAACAGAAACAACAAAATAAAAAAGGGGAGATGGTTTTGAATATCCAGTAATGTTGTTAAAACAAGAACAAAAAACCACATGTATCTTGTTATAATTAACATTCTAATATAACTGCATCAGGCTGCCTTTTGGTTCATTCTTTAAAAGTAGCCACTATGGCGCTGTGTGGTTAGTTACACTTGGCAGTGTTCATGTGTCTGTTGAAGGAACATAGAGGTGAGCGTGTGTGTGTGTGTGTGTGGCCTGGCATTACCATCCTTGTGGGGACCTAAATCTGTCACGTGTGGGGACTCGTTAATTTTAGGGTGAAGACTTGGTTAGGATTAGGGTAAGGGTTAGGGTTAGGCATGTGTTGGTTAAGGTTAGGATGAGTCTCCAGGAAATGCATGTAAGTCAATGTAATGTCCCCTGAAGTGATGTATACATGGTATGTGTGTGTGGAGCGCTGCCAACAGGGAGAAAAACGTTCAATCATTACACGATCATTGAGGGTTAGGGTGGAGAGCGAACAGCAGGATGGAGATCGTCTGGGAGAAAGTCACACTAACATCCAGAGCTAACCGCAGCATAACAAATTCCAGGGATCTGTGTTGGGGTTTTTGTTTTTGTGCTTGTCTGAGCGTGTTTGAGTAAATTATAACCAGACCCTTGCAACCCGAATGAATCTTCTCTGGTTCATGCGGTCTTTTTTTTACTTTCCATACCACATTTCTCTATTTTACACAAACAGAAACGGAGCAGCACGGTAATCTAACTAGCACTCGTATGGAAACACATGCAGAGATGAGATACTGCGAGAAATGTCGTAGTTAAAGCAATCTGTCAAATCTCAATTTAAATATTGTACACCACGTCCAATCATAGTTTCTGAAAATGACTATATGCAGAAATACAAAAAAAAATCTCAACCCACTATGAAACGTACAGATCCAGTTAAACCACTAACTGGACACGCCCCACTACATTATGGTGTTTGACTGTATATGCTATATGCCATTTTATTGAACACTCACATACAGGGGAGTACAGATCATGTTTCCGAAACTAACCCAAGCTCCGAGAAATAAATGGGGTGCTGAGGTTGTTACTTTCCACAAAATGTGGGTAGGCATATATTATACGGTACCTACCAAATACATAGAAGGAAATAAATATCATATTCCCCGGGATAAAATGTCGAAACAGTATTTTTCTAATCCAACCATCACTTCAAGAACTCCCGGAGGCCTGTCAGCGGGAACCACAGGCGCCGGCATCTGGGCTGCGAGCCATTTCAGCCAAAAGTAGCGTTATTATTAAAGAAGAGCCCAATAGGGGTGGAAAGAAAAATACATGTGACGGACCGTTCAATTGGTGATTCTGAGTCCTTGAAGTCAGAGGTTGTGAAAGGGATATCTACAATTGTTTGCAAGAGAAAGCTTTGGTTATATTGAGATGAGGAATTCATGAAAATGGGTTTAGGCTAACCTCAAATTTGAACAATCACGGGGTGAAGATGCTGAGTGGGCTAAACTGCAGCACTTTCTCTCGTCATGAATAAAAAGGATGTGGTTCGTGCGGATTGCGCTCTCTCTGGAATTCCAGTCTGTTGATGTCAGTCATTCAGTCAGCCACACACTGAGGCTTCTCCCGCTATAAGGGCACTGCGGACTAACTTTAATACTAATATTTATTCCTCCAGAAATAATAGGTGCTGTGTGGGAGGGCTGGCAGACAGAAAAACATCCTCCAACACAATCATCCTGTCAACTCTATTTCAAGTGTCTCAAGGTTCATCGTGGTGTCTGGGGAACCTTGTATTTTGCCCCTGCTCTTTTCCCTACAGTGTAATTTAGTTTCCGACTACATCTTCTAATCAGCTGCGTCCAACCCCACAGCTTCCTGTGGGCGGCGAGAAAAGCGTCGCACCGCAGTCCCGTCTATCCGCCAGCCGCCCGGTCACACTCTGTCATTTGCAAATTCCTACTTTCTGATGGTCTGCTTTCTCGGTAGAAACACACGACTGAGGCACGAACTGGATACTTCGGCTGCAAATCAAAAGGATCGTTTCTCAGTAATTGAGGGTTTTCTAATGTCAAACAGCGCTGACTTCTGCATTCTATTCACATTTGAGCAGCTTAGATGAACCCATGCATTTCAAAGTACTTTAATGTCTATGTTTGCAGTTTGGGACAAGACACTCACATTGTGGGCCTCCTATAAGAAAGGGACTAACAATGTTTTGATCAATATTGATTGCTAACACCTTCAAACTGTTGTTGTTGCTGTGCTTTTATTTAAAAGGTTTACACACACCTGCGTAGGTCCTGGGATGCACGACAGAACCCTCTCGATGTTTTCAGAGGAAACGTCCACATCGTCCACCGCCACGAGCACATCACCTGAACAAAGCACGAAGAAAAAGGACATTTATCAGTTGGAAACCTGACTTTGGATAGAAAAGAAAACATGCTGATAAATAGTGTGGATGTTTAACCCGCTGACATATTTGAATTTGATTTGTCGCAGCAAGAAAGAAAAGTAGAAAAACCAGAAAGGGAGGAGATGATAGATACTAGATTCACAGGTGAGGGTCATGCTGTCCACAATAAAGGAAATTCATTTCACGATAAATTGAAACAACGTAAGCATTGCATCGACGATTTATGACGAGGTTTTTAATCCCCGAAATTAAGCGTCGAACAAAACGGTATAAAAACATATTTGTCTATTGTCTCTGTTGTCCATAAATGTGTGTCACGATGGGTACAATATCCTTCGAATGTTAACAAAGTACATTAACCTGATCCTTAATCTGAGTTTCTGGAAGGCAAACTGAAAGGGGATATGCCGCCATTACAGGTGACTAAATACAACCCTGACTAAAAGGAGATATTTCTCAGTCTGGAACCATTTGGGATGAGATACATGCCTTTAATGTTTACTTGGCTTAACAACAGAGTAGTATGGCAATGTGCTTCTGCTCTATGCACTTGGCTGTAAAGACCCCAGTAAAGGGAGGACAAACAGCTCCACCTGCTCTGTGTGCAGGGAGGCTGAACGCCATCTCAGTAACGGAGCTATTCCAGGTATTTTACCACTCTTATTGTTTAAGCATGCTGCATAGAAGCTTCTCAGTTACTCGTGTGGGAAGTCATTTGTGTTGAAGCTCGACGTTCTTCGATCTATTAAAAACTGTCCGATCATTAAGCCTGATAGGGGACAATCACTTCAGAGGAGACAAGCTTTCCATCAGACATTTCCTCAGGACCAGGAGCTTCATTTTCTTCAGGAAGTGCACTGAAAGCTCCACTAGGACTGAATATCCTTGCTGCGAAGAGTTAGCAATGAGAAGTAGCTATTAAACACCTTAGTGGTTTCTCAACACAGAAACTATGACAAGGTTTTTATCACTTTGTAGTTGTTGCTATGGATGAATGTTTCTGAAAGAGTTTGACACACCAAGGCTAGTTCTTCGTGTACTCACAATAATAACAATAATAATATAGAGTCATTATGAATGCTGTGGGCTGTTTTTCTGTGTTGTATTATTTGCAGCCCCGTGATCTGGCAGTGCATTTGTGTGGAGTGGAAATGTAGATGACTCAGTACGACTGCTATTGAAATCAGACGAGCTGCAGTTTCCAATTGATTCTTTTAGAGGACGGGGAAAGTGAGTCAGTGACAAAAGTATGTTATATTTATCAAAATAAAATGTTCCTCCAAAGCTTTTCAGATATATCCCTCGTCTACCGAGGTCTGTACGGGTGTCTTAGCCAACGTGAAACATGCTTTACTGCTTTGATAACTAACATGAAAATGTCATTCTGATATTTGTTTAGTTTTGCACAAGGTTAATAACAGCTGACTCTTTGAATTTAAGTATAATAATAATAAAGCTTTATTTATAACACTTTTCATACAACACATGCAGCTCAAAGTGCTTTACAAAATGACACATTAAAGTTAAAAACAAACAACAAGAAATTCCCCTCAGATTATTTGTAAGAATTGTAAAAAGGTACATGCAGCAAAATATAACGTTTTATCAGGTTAATAGACTCAAGGAGGTCAAAGGTAGGATCAGACACAAGACAACTGAGTCGATGCAACAATATGAAATATAAAACCCCATGAAACAGTATGGTCTTACCAATTAGGATTTGTCCACATTTGATGGCCGGGCTGTTGGGTATCAATCCATGGACGGTCAGTCTGTCCTCCTGTCTGACCTCCGGAGGGTCCCCCAGCCCTCGGCTCCAGGAGGCTCGATGCACCACCCCCAGCAGCGCCTCCAGCAGGCCTCCACCTTCACAGAGAGGCCCTGCCAGACGTTTGGGGTTGAGGTACACACACACTTCCTTCAGCTGCTGGACCGTCACAGCCTGCCTCTGACCCGGCTGGTTCTTCAGGATGGACGCTGGAGCTGACGAGAGAGCAGAGTTCTCTTTACCCCCATCCTTTGCTCCAGGTTTGCGCTGAGATGACCGACGTTTTCTCCTCAGGATCCTGGCTAGCCGTTTGAGCGTGGGCTCGCCTTTAGTCCGAGAGGCGCATCGCTGCTTCTTGTTTTGCTCGGTGAGGATCTCGGCCTCCTTTTCGCTAAAGCGGACGTGATTAGTGGCCACACCTTGATTGGCGTTGGCCAGTGCAGCCTCCTCTTCGCCCTCACTCAGCTCCAGGTAGAAAAGCTCTCCGTTCTTCTGGATGTCGTCGAGCCATTCTGGTTCCAAGTCACTGAGAGAGAAAAAGGGAATTGAAAGACGCGTATTATTAAAAGGCAGTGGTATGGAACTGGGAAGAGATGGTAGAGTATGAGAGATGTACCATCAATTGTACTTAATATTCTGTTACAGGATTGTATAACATTTGGGAGGTTGGATATCTTGATATTGCGATAAAGCTAACTTCTGGTCTAAAAAGCTATGCTAAGCTTAGGTGAATTATTATACTATTATCAGAGCTGTACATGTATGAAGGAAAAAAACTAAACTATAACATGTACAAAGCATGTCCAAAATAGTGTATGGTGTAATAGTGATATTTCCGTGTGGATTTTCTCTATTTAAACCTGCTTTGAAGAAGCTGTGGTAAGCAGCTTTGATGTTTTATCCATAAATGTACTGAGGGTGGCGAGAAGCATACAATTATTTATGAAGGTTTACGTCCCAAATTGAAAACAGTCCCCAAGAGCCATGTAAAGCAAAAGAGAGGAGAGAGAAACTGAGTGGATGTGAAGACACACTCAACAATATTATATATTTATATCACATATATAGATATCATTATATACATTCTTCAGCAAAATGATTACCTTGACTTGTTATACTTTAAGTACATATTACTAAGAATATTTTAGTACTTTTACTTAAGGTTTTGAATGCAGGACTTTTACTTGTAATAAAGTAATTTGACAATAACGTATTGTTAATGTTACTAAAGCATCTGAATACTTCTTCCCCCTCTGAAGGAGCCACACACCAAAGCTCAAGTTTTAAATGGGAAAGTAACACCATCAAAATGTTAGTGTCGCGTTACAGGATCTCCTGCTAACAAACGTTTCTGTTTGCTAGCTCGTTCAAACATCTGTCAAATCTGCAGTAGATTTACGGGGTTTCACAATGTCAACTCCACGTATATACGGTGTGTTTGTTTGCTGTCTAAAGGAGGATAAGTGTTTGTTTGTTGTCTAAAAGAGGATACATTATCTTCTTACTCTGAGAAGTCGGAGCTGTTGAAACTTGATGTGGATTCACAGTCGCTACCGTGCATTTCAACACCGTCTTCTTCTGTTTTCCCGCCACAAACATTTGTATTGATACACTTTCGGGCGTCTGCAGTCGCCATGTTGATTACGAGACGTTTTATTCCCCATGCAATGCGAGATACTTCTTAAAAAAGCTAAACTTTTTACCAAAACAAACGCTGCTGTTCTGTCGCCATGTTGGAACTCGTTGACGAGCTGACTGGCCACGGTGTGATCACGTGATTCTAAAGAGAGCAATCTGATTGGTGGACAGTGCAGTTGCCCCTAACAACACAGAAGCTTTCTGTTTCCTCGCTGTCTCGGGCATGGGCAGGCAAGTGCGTTCTAGTTTACTTGGCAGCACGAGACTCTCGCACGCTAAATAATGTATTTACCACACATAAAAAACCAAATACGTTGTTTTACTATATCCACAGGAACATTTAATTAACCCTATACACAAAAACACCGGATAGGTACAGTTTATTAAAATAACACGGTGTAAAATACATCAGAATGTTTGAGAACAACGCTTGAAGTGGGACTGAGGATACAATAACAACTAATTAAATGAACTTAAGAGCGCATTTTTACAATTTTTAGTACGTTTGTGGCATTTAAAATGTTGCATATAATGTCCCCTCTTTCTCCTCCTCCCTACCGACCTGCACGAGTCATTTAAATCCCCTCCGGTATTCAGCAAAGCCACTACGACCAAACAAAAGCACAGCACTTTAGGTGTGTGTAAAAAAGAGAAAATAAAGATAATTGTGTCATCCATGCATCGTGTGAATTTGCTACTGACCTGTAAAGAAGAACACTGCGAATTGAATCAAAGTCCTCCAAGTTTTTAGAGAATGATCCTCCATCTATAGAAATGTTAAACATCATTTGTGCGTCATGTTTTATAGCCCCGGCCAATAACGCTGCGCTAACTCCCAATTGTCCGGTGAATGAAGATGCAATTTAAAACTCCAAAAGAGCCAAAAAAACAGGCCTTAAAAAGCGACAAAAGTGATCAAAATGTATTCCTTTCCTTTGCCATGTATGCATGCAGTTTCTGCGCCACTATACAGGATGCACTGCGTCTCCAAAAGCGCAACGAATCCTGCTCCAGTTTCTCACGTCAATCACTGGTTTAACACCGACTCTATTCAGAGAGAGCAGAAACCCACTGGTGCTTTTTTTTTTTTAAGTTTTGAGTGTTTCTCCAGACCAGCAGAGTGGAATTTGTCCCACTGGTTTTCTTGGCAGGTGGAGCAAAACCCCGCCTACTCTGGGCACCAACAAAACGCTCCGCTCACAAGTCTATAATAGAACTGTTTTTATAAGAAGTTATTCAAGCATGGGAAAATAACGTTACTTAATCCCAACAACAAATCACCTACAAGTATCCGTTGAAGACACACAACAAGTAACAATGCGGCAAAAAACATCGGTTTATATCGGAGTTACATGCAATATAAAGAATTTGGAGTATATAAAATGGTATAATGCTATTTTTATTCCTTCTTATTCTATTCCAATGTAAATACTGTTATATTTTGTATTATTTTTAATATTGTTCTAGTTCTCTACCTGTGTTTTTAATTATTGTTTTACTTTCATGTATGTATGCACCACTACACCAAGTCAAATTCCTCGTATCTGTAAACCTACCTGGTTAATAAACTTGATTCTGGCATATATGAGTATATAACCATACGCAGGTCATGTTGAAATACAGGTTAAAATGATTAACTAGTAACCCCGACCCATATATTCATCATGATTTATATTGAACACTTTAGCACTGCCACTCTGAACATACTCTCTCCCTCAAAGCCCCCAAAGGAGGCAGTGAACGGTCATCAAAGGCAGAGAGCATAAGAACTGAATCAACTCTATCTT